CTATTAGTCACTAAATAGATACTATTAGTTAGTATTTAGTTTGATTTTATTTCACGGTTTAACTGCATCCGCTCTAGTGTACCCCCCAAGTGGTTACACACGTTTTGAACGTTTTAAGAAGTCATCTTTGACCAAATAAGAGAACAATCATTGGAAATGTGCCAGTGAGCGATTTGTTATAAGTAGCTATTAAAGATATATTTTAGGTGCTTGCTGTATAGGATGCCACAACAACCAGGCAGAATCTATATCAGTCCAGTCAGTCTATAGTTGGTGGTCAAACAAATTGCAACAAAAGGTTTCTCACTGCCAAAATGTCAGTAAAAGCGTCCTAAATAACATACTAAAAACCCTAAAAAATCCCTTCAGTGGAACAAGTCCAAAATCAACGTTGAATTTAGCCGAAGTTTTCAGCCGAAAACACAGGGATCCCACAACACAAAAAATAGACAGATAAGTTATTATTTGATGTAACCTAGTAATAACGACATTTATTTCACTTCTATCAAACACAGGGAAGATGACTGAACTCATTTTAAAAATTGTTTTGAAAATACTGTCAAAAAAATATTCGAAAATATAATTTGTCTCACCACAGGGTTCCCGATTCAGAAAGCTCAAATTCTGAAGCTTTTTTYTTCTTCCAATAATTAGACGGTATTATTTAAATCTAAATTATTGTACATATTCAAGGTTTCCTTTTTGCCAACATTTTGCATTCTCCACATGCCGGCGAACAGTTTAAACATGTTTTTTGCAAGTGCATCTCATTGTTTTACAATCAGATTTACAGTTACATCTAATCATCTCCAAGAGGGACTTGTGTGCTGGCGGCAAGTCTGTTACAATCGGAAGAAGCTTTCCATTGGCTAATTTCCACCCCCAGTCCACTGGCTGTAAGTAGATATGAAATGAGAGTTCTACGCCAGGTGGATCGTGGATCAGGGTGGATCGTGGATCAGCCCTTGTAATGACGGCGCTTCGGAGCAAGCGCAGCAAGCGGCTCTTCCCCAGACCCTACTCCTTGCCCGTAATAACGGTGACGTCATGGCTATTCTTACTATCCCGTGTTTCTAGCTATGTCTATTCTTAGTTTGCTGGATTGCAGCACATCCTATATTTTACGTCAAAGATTAATCCAAATAAAATGTTATAATTATTCTTAAAATATAGTTTTTCTGTCACAAAGCCTATTGTTAAAGGATTAGACTCTTTTTACTTTATGCTTTTGTTTCACCCTAATTGAGTTCTACGAAAATGACTCATCAAAAAACAAACAATTAGATGACTTGCCCAAGGAACAATGACAAACACGCTTTCTAAAATAATTTAAATTTTATTCATAAAACGCTCAATGCATGTGAATACAAAAAAAAAGTTTAGTTACAGCTCTTTTCATTATTTAACTAAGTACGATGTTTTGATTGTCAGTATATATTTGTTCAATAGAAACACCCGTCACTTGAAACAATAGAGGACTGTGATCTGCAAAATTTGCGAGTCAATCACGCGAATCACCTCACTAGATATGAAAACCACGATCTACTCTTTCTTAGTTTTACAAAACAAACCGTCCATCCAATAAAAAAAAAAATAATTAGTGTAAATTTCTTATTCACTAATGAGTTCAGCCAGGTGTAGACTTTCAGGCCAGGTACATGCCAATAGCCGATAGCTTGATAGCTGATAGCCTAGCTCTATATATAGTGTAGATCCTAGTGTAGATAGTAGATCTAGTATAGATTCTAGTGTAGATTCTAGTGCAGATTCTAGTGTAGATAGTAGATCTAGTATAGATTCTAGTGTAGATTCTAGTGTAGCTTCTAGTGTAGATTGTCATCCACCCCACATCGACCTCTCATCGACCCCACATCGACCTCACATCGACCTCTCATCGACCCCACATCGACCTCTCATCGACCCCACATCGACCTCTCATCGACTCCACATCGACCTCACATCGACCTCACATCGACCTCTCATCAACCCCATATCGACCTCTCTTCGGAGTAGGGTCTGGGGAAGAGCCCCTTGCTCAGTTTGCTCCGAAGCGCCGTCATTACAAGGGCTGAACCACGATCCACCTGGCGTAGAACTCTCAATTCATATCTACTACTGTAGCTCTTAGTTTCCTTTCCATTCTTGGACTTGACTAGCGCAACTGCTTTTCCTATTCCATATTGGCGTGATGCTGTGTCACACCCGGTTATTGCATGTAGAAACAAAATGTTTGTACACGCATTTGTTCCCAAAATACATTTTGTTTTCTTGATGTTCCAAATTTTTCGAGAAATGGATGTCTTCTTTGGTTCCGGCATGAAGAACAAATCGTGTGCGTCAAGATCCGCATGATAGTAGAGTAAGATGAGAAGATCCGTGTCTTCACTAATCAGAGCTGTCGTTTTTTCACTGGCGGACTCAACAGCTGTCTGTGTAATAAGAAGATCAGCATCTTCTGTAGCGTGTTTGACTGAACACCCAGCCACTTGTAGCCTGTTTGCGAAAAGGTCGATAAACTTTATCTTGTTATCTTTGTTAGTCAAAAATTCTTGCTTGTTTGATGATATAACCATATCCAGTTCAAAATGAACAGTTTTTGACCCAGAACCCATTCGTCTCTGATGTGTGCAGTCTTTCGTCGAAGGACCATCCTCATAGACGTCAAAGACAACTGTAGACTTGCCATACTTCCGAATCGCACAAACTGGAGTGAGAGGTCTAAGACGGACTCATAAGTACTACCACGCGGCCAAGGCAAGTGATGCAGAAGTGAACCTCCATCAAGAACATAATACACTTTCCCCGATGGTTTAGTGGTTTGCTGTTCTTTTGTTTTTTCCCCAGAATGCATTAGCCAGTTTTGACTTGTCTGCCAAATAAAGCAGGAGGAAAGCTACACATTTCATAGCTAAATAGTTCCTGGGAGTTCTCAAATCTTCCACTGGAAGCTACGACACTGAGCCTTGGAAATAACAACTGTGGATCAACTTGCACTGTTCCATCAGAAAACGTCACAGCCGTCTTTGAAGCAAGCGTAACAACCTCGTCTTTCTTACAGAACGAAAACTCGTGCACGTTCTTATCAACCATGGAAGCAAGAACTTTGCAACCCACATCCTTAGCATTATCCGCGTTCACTTTGTCATCAGCAACAACTCCAGTTGCGATGCTGCGCAGAGATGGGTCAGAGCTGAAAGGATTTCTTGTGTTAAGATAAGCTGTGATTTGATTGACATCCTTGTAATCCCGTTGTTGCCTTGCGTGCGCGTTAATACTTGCGTTAATACTTTTTGGTCCCAGCTTTATTTACAAAACAGAAGGAATTTATCAACACAAAAATTGTTTCATCAAATGGGCTTACGGGGTGGGTATTCTTGGGTGATGTACATAGATTTCTTTAAATCGCTGTTATTGGAATTTTATGATTGTTGGACTAGTTTGCCTCGTGTGGAGAGAATTTTATCAAATTGACGTCAGTGCAAAGAATTATGATCAAAATATCATAGCATTTACTACATGTAAATGAATCTTAAAGAACTTACCTTTCCTTTTGAAGATCGCCAGATAGTAAAGAAGCAAGAAGTAAAACAACAATTGGAAATAATTTCATCTAGTTCAGTATGATCTCGAGCTAGTATAAGTACGATTGCAAAATTTGTCTAGACAATGAAATTAACAATCTTTTACAACATAATTTTATACATTTTGAAAGCGCTTTAAAAAATATACATTTTATTTATTGTGCAGCAAAACCTCCTTTTGCCGATTAAAAAGATGCATCGATGTTTTGGAAGTCTTATAATTTCTAAATGAGCCAATAAGAATGATTAAATACGTGTTTTAGATTATTTGTTATAGTAAATGTGCTATAATTCTCGACACGGGATCCCTGTGTTTTTGATCGTAATTTCAGTCGAAAAGTAACTAACGTCAACGTCGATTTTGGAGATGTTCCACCAAAGGGATTTTTTGGGATTTTTAGTATGTTATTTAGGACACTTTTACTGACACTTTGGCAGTGAGAAACCTTTTGTTGCGATTTGTTTGATCTGGGCCATCAAAATCGYGTAGATTGATCGTGAACAAACTGTTTTGGTTCACTCGATATCAGTACTTAAGAATTTTCATAAGGATTTATCAGGACACAGAGAGGAATGTTTTTCTGTTATGCAAGAAGTGGTATAATTATTAGCTAAGCAACAGAAGGAAACAACCTAACGCGTTTTTTGGAATATTATACTGCCTCGCTGGTTGGTTGATGGCCTGGTACTTACCAAGTCTTTCGGATGGCGAAACTACAAGCAACTGGAACGGCAAAAAAAAATTAAAAAAA